GTTTGTAAGCAGCTTTAGCCATGTCTAAAGCTTCGCAGATCTTGGGCCACGCCTCTCTTAAAGCAGAGCTCTACTCAGCCGCCTCCCCCCCTTTCCCCGGAGTGGAAGTCAGAAATGGGATCGGGGGGCTGTCATAACCAAAAGCAGCTTTGAATGGTGACATTCCCGTAGAGGTGTGGCAGGAATTGTTATAACAAAATTCAGCAAGAGTCAGTAGGTCCGTCCAATCATCCTGTTGAAAGTTTGTGAAGCACCTCAAATATTGTTCAAGGGAGACCCCCCCATGCTTTGGCACTGAGTTGGGCTTCACCCAGACCTCTCGTAGTGAGGATGGGCGCAGGTGACTTGCTCCCCCCCCGCAACGGCGGTTAGCGGGGGGGGGGAGACCGTTCTGTCCCGATGCAAGAGCAGGACGAGGAGCAAACATGCTGCATGTTTGTACAAGCCACGACCTTCCCTTTTTAGTTTCGATTTCAAGTTTAAGAGGCAATGAAGGCAACAGAGAATTTTGGTATATACGTGTTTCCTCACTGATTGATAAAGACCTCCATTAAAAAGATCCTTTAAAGATATCTCAATTCCGAGAACATATACGCGGCTGTGAAAAGGAGTGGAGTAAAAGGCTTGGAAATGGCGACGAGAGGGGAGATTGAAGCTACTCCAGCAAATGAAATTGTACTGGTGGACTTAAAAAACACAGAATGTGGCCACTTATCTTTGGAACAGTTTAAAGAACATTTAGTCAATGAGATTCGGAAGGCAGCAGAGGAAGCGTGTAAAAATATCTGCAAGAAGTTTCAAAATGCTGACTCGGAAGCTGCGAGCGAACTGTTAAGAGCTCCGAGAAAGATGACAAGCGGCAGGAAGAGATAATAGAGTTCTCCTCCACACCGACGAAAGGAAAAAGGAATGTTTCCAGGAAGGGGAAAAAAGCAAAGGATTTTACAAAGCAATTGCAGTTTGCAGTTCACATAAAAAGGAAGAAGCAAGCTAAAACTCACCGAAAAGTGAAGAAGTTTGCCAGAAAGAAAGTGAGGTGCCTCTTAAAGGAGAACAGTGAGTACAAAGGACTAAAACACCTAGGCACAGTCATCAGAAAGAAACTGTTTCAGAAAACAACGTGGATGAATGCATTATGTGGTAGAGGAATTTTCTTTTGGTCTAAAATGTCTCAGAGGGTGGAATTGGAAATGCATGGCAAAGCTGTTTTGATTAACCCTTTGAATGGTTAAAATGATTTCGGGTAAATATTCTGCAGAAAACCACATGGTAGTATGTATTGTGTAGCAGGCAACTGCTTCTACGTATTCAAAATATGTAAAGCCTTATGTATTAGGTTCTGAACAATGTATTAGGTTCTGAACAATGTATTAGGTTCTGAAATGGAAATCTGGTAAAGAGGTTTTGTCTATGTATGTGGACGGCTAAAGTGATTCTGGGCAAACAATATTTCTGTACTCTTAATTGCTTATATATTCAAATGCTGCATGTACTTATTTGTTTATCAGTTGGTTTATTCTTATAAATTACTCATGAGTTAAAGTCGATGAGTAGTGGAAGAGGGAATGAAGTAATGTATTTACAATTCTGTTTGGTTAGATAAATATTGAAATATTTCAGGTTCTAAAAAAATAGGAGTGTAAATGTGAGACCATAATTTTCTAATATTGGTGTTATGAGCAATCATTAAGAGATATAAAAAATATAAAGCAAGACAGAAATGAGTGAAAATAGAGCTTTACTATGATACTATGATAGTACAACACAATATGCTGAAGGCTTCAGCTGCTGGAACAAAAGTATTTTGTAAAGTTGTCTTGCCTGTTTATTAGAAGGTTAATCAGAAGGCCAGAGTATTCTAGGGCAAAATTGTCTTGTTTTCTTTTGGTTTTTTTAGCTCTTTCTACTTTTTCTTTTGTGGTAGCTTCCAAATTACGTGCATATTAAAATGATATTGGCAGTATTTGTGGTCATGTTTAGGATGATAAAAATATTATTTAGGCTGAAGTAAACTTTTGCTGAGTTATTGCTGGGTAAAAATTATCTGGGAGGCGATTTAGATAACATGAGTTAATTGGGTTGAATGTGTGGAAACTGTTCAATAAATATGTTACAAGTAAGAAGATCCTGTATGGAAGTTGGGAATGATATGCTCTATGTATTAAGGAAAATATGTACAAATTTATGGATAGATAAGATTTATGAAAATTTGATTGGTAATGTGTGGTATGCTGAATGGTTCTGTTGCTTTACGTAATCTATCTTTGTTTTGTTTGGAAACCAATAAATGATTTAAAAAAATATATTGTTCAAGGGTTTGGTTAACCCGCTCGGACTGGCCGTCAGTCTCTGGATGATAAGCACTGCTCAGTCCACGTTCAATGCCCATAAGTTCTATGAGCTCACCCCAAAACTTTGAGACGAATTGGGGGGGCCCTGTCCGTTATTATTTTGGTAGGT